CGACTATGGAGAGAGATTCAGCGGCGCCCCTTCTAGAATTAACCCTTCGGTAAGACTTCTGCACTTTCTTCGACCGGACTTGACTGCAGCATTCCTCCTTATACCCACGCTTATGGCACGTTTGACAAATATGTTGTTTGAAGGGACAAAAGCGAGCGAAATGCCATTCGCCACATGACCAGCATGCTGTGGGCGGTTTCTTCGTAGGCCTCTTGAAGGATTTGCTTGCTTTGGCGGTCATGGTCTTTTTCACGAGTTGCACGGTATTTGGTGATGCTAGACCATTGCGTTCGACCATGGCAGTGTCGTGTTTTAGAGTGAGAAGCCGCTTGCATTCGCTTACGAGGGCCTTCAGTGTCAGATCAGGATCCTGCTCCAGCTTAGCTAAAAGCCGCGTTCAGATCTCAGCATTACTAGGCGATTGTAAAGCACTGACGAAAATGAGACACTTAAACGTATCGTCCGTTAAAGAGCGTAGTTTGAATCGTTCACACTCACGGTTAATCATGTCTGCTAAGGCTCAAAATCGTCAGATTCCTGTTTGAGTATTTTCAGACATTGATAGCGAATACTAAACAAAGATACCGACTCACCAAAAATTTCCTTCAGTTGCAACACTGCTTCGTCAAAAGTCAGATCCTTCGGCTGTTTGGGCAAAATGTGGTCTATGAACCTTGAATGTTCACTTATTCCGAGCTTGCGGAGTAACAATCGCACTTTCCAGGAGTCGTCCTGACGAACGATGTCCGTCTGGAACATGTCTTCCCAGCGCTTGAACCACGCTTCGAGTGCTTCCAGATTCCGCATCATAATGGAATTCAGTGATGGCGTTCGTGAGAAGATCAACAGTACTCGCCTGCGTGTCCCGCGTCGCTGCTCCAGTTGTCTGCAAACTCAAGCTTTGTGTCAGATTTTCAATCATTTTCATTTGCGCCTCCATTTGAGCTTGCTGTTGAAAAAGCAGATTTGAAATTGTTCAGCAGAAAAATTCATCACATTTCCACTTTTCTACGTCGCCATTTGTTATACTCTTCTCACTAGACGCAACACCAAAAAGAACAATTCACTGCTCGGCAAATCTTGTAGCCCAACCGAAGGAAAAAAGCAGAACGCCAATGACCCTGACAAATAACGTATTAATCGCAGCCAACGAACACTGTATAACGACTGAGGACCCTGGCTGTAATTATAGGTCCCTGCTGACCTTCGACTTCTAGAATTGGAAGGTCAGCTGCTAAGGTTAGTGGTTCCCCATATCTTTTCTCCAGAGGTCAGGTGGATTTTGATCACGTGTAGAAGAAGAACATTCAGGAACGTTCGAAATCGATGCGATAATCGTTAATAATCGATTAATCGCTAAAATAGGGAATTTCCAAGACAGTTCTTACTTTCTCCCGGACACATCTTACAGATGTTAGGACTGCTAAACCGACCACAAAAGGTATTCAGCCTAAACCAGTAGTAGCTCAGCGCTTTACTCGCTCCCACCGACAATTAGTTAAATAGGAAGTCTTGAAATAGTAGCCGCTACCGCAAAGGCAACCTTGAAACACTAATCAGTAGCTCAAACCCTTTGAAAGCTCCTTCGCGACGCCCAGTTTCTTACTGCTCAACAGATCAGCACGTAAAGCAGCCTAGTACTATTGAATGGGAGCATCGTAAGCCTGTAGGCACTGACCAGGTAGGATATTGCATAGCAATGGGGAAGCAATCCGAACGGACAAACTTTACTTCACTTCTTACTTCTCTTCTACACTTTGGCCCCTTCGTCCCCATCATTACCCATTAGTATTTCCAAATACCTAGTCCACTTGGTCTCTTGCGAATACTTATACTTGTGACCCATGAGTCCACTCTACTAAAAACATTTTAACAACGCTAAGCCTCATGTGAAATGCCAGGTTCTAGCGTTGTTGCCCTAATTGAAGCTTTTGCATTAAGTCAGAGCACTAGTTACTATAGTCAGCATTTTCCAAACACTATCAGTAGGTAAGCCGCAAAATAAAATTTTTTTCTTTCTTATTGTTGACAATGAGCGCACTTTAAAAGTTCTAGACCCCATAATCAGACATTTTGCTCTCCACTTATACTCTCTTGGCCCCATATACTTAGATTTATCTGGTATACATGTGCCTTTCGCTATTGTCAACACTAGTAGACAGGCATAATGAAAACCAGATCCTCTTTTTAACTGCTTTTGCTCGTAAAACACTCGCATTTCCAGATTTCATTTCACTGGCACGAAAGCTAACCAATGACAGAGAGGCCCCTATCACACTGGCTGGCTGGAGCACCAGAAACGTTCCATCACCACTTTTCCTATCTTGGCCGCCTGTGTGTCATTTCTCTTTTAGCTGGCTCCAAATTCTACCATGTGCTATGCGTAATGGCGGGTGAAAGACCAGCTCCCACTGGTTTTTGTTACCATTCTGCTCCTGATTTACCTTTTCGCTCTTTGCTTAGGTTGCTAGAACCGCCCTTGCCAGGAACATCACAAAAGAATTAGTCGGTGTGACATTAGAGTACTAGTTAACATTGCCAACTGGATGAACACCGCCGGCACTATGGTCGGAACTTAAAAATGGAGAGAAATAAATCGAAATTCCTCAAAGAGCTGCAGAATAGTGTGCATCTACACATGAGGCATAACAATACCTCAAGTATGAGCAAGCTCAACCACCAGAAGTAGAGTTGTTAAAGCCCAACCAATGTAGACCAAAACGGATTTCACGCCCAAATGCAATTAGCTAAATTTTAAATAAATATATAAATAAATAAATAGGTATATTTCTAGACCTGCTAGAGGCTGCACCCTAAAGGTTTCAGATCAATGCTAACATAAATCCGATGCTCTTGCATGGAAGTAGGTAGAATATATGTATATGTTCATCGTCAGCAATTACGAATGCTTTGGCATTGTTTGATATACAGCTACTGGGTCGCAGGCGCCCACCTTGACATGTTTCTGGTTCCTGCGGGCGATATTGAACTCCTTGTTCTTTTGTGAAAACTTCGCGGAGGTGTAGTTGTGCCTTTTTCTCCTTGTAACAGAATCCAATTCGCCGAAAGTGCACTTTAAATTGATCGCACATTAATTGGCCACTCGGTTGCCCCAATTGTGCGCAAATGGAAGAAATGAGTGAAGGGATTGTAGGGCATACGAAAAGTAGAAAACAATTCCGATAAATGCGGACAAAAATAGAAACAATTTGTTAGCACCCTAAGCAAAGAGCGATAAGGTAAATCAGGAGCAGCATAGTGACAAAAACCAGTGGGAGCTGGTCGTTCACCCGCCATTACGCATAGCGCATGGTAGGATTTGGAGCCAGCTAAAAGAGAAATGACACACGGACGGCCAAGATAAGAAAAGTGGTGAGGGAATGTTTCTGGTGCTACAGCCAGCCAGTGTGACAGGGGCCTCTCTGTCGTTGGTTTGCTTTCGTGCAAGTGAAATGAAATCTGGAAATGCTAGTTTTTAACGAGCGAAAGCAGTTAAAGAAGAGGATCTGGTTTTGTTATAATTGCGCCGCCACTGTTATGATTGAGGGAACGCCGCCTCTTGAGGTAATTGCGTGACAAGATTGTCGCTCGCACGGTGGGAGCACGCCTACGATGACGCTAGCTTAGCCGGTGAGACGGAAAATTGAACGAGCGTGGGAACGATCTTAGCCGCACTTGTTCGTATAGACGCTGAGGCCTCGAAAACGGAAGCACACGAGAGGGGGTACGATAGACGCGCGCTAATGACTTAGACGCGAAGGCTGGCCAGCTAACGATTCACACGCAATCACGCGACCCGACCGACTCCCAACTGAGGCGAAGAGAAAGAAAAGACGAGTGGTCCTCTGTAGGCTCTTTTACGACCGACAAAGGGCGATCACAGCCAGTGCTATGGGTTATTAAGTTAGGGAAAAAAGTCACCACGCAGAGGTGGTAGTTTGCAAATGACCATTGTCAAAAGGTTCGCAGTTGGGACGCTCCTCGGAGTGGCTGAACACTGCTGCGTTGTGGGGAGAAATTGGACTCCGCTTCCCACAGCCATTATGCCGGAGTTACTGGCGCGTTTCTGCGGGGATTTTTGACGGGCCCGCAACACCTCCCTTTGAAGAGAGAGCGTACCGCTTCTGGCGAGGATTGACCTGGAGGTATTTCGGTGACCTCCGGATTCTTTCTGTTCGTCGGCAAGGTGGGTTCTCGAGATGCGGCGGTGTCTGAGCGGCTTCGACCGTGGTCTGTCGTTGTGTGGACAATCCGAAAGTATATAACAGGATGTGCAGCGGCAGGCGCACGGGATAGCTGGCTGGCATGGAGATTTCTTCGTGGCGCGGACGAAGTTGATTGCGATGGCGAACCCAGGCTGGTTAGCCGAGCAACCTCCTCGTGGTGCCAGCTGGGTGGTTCGGGTTTAACCCGTTCCAGCAAATAGTTCGGCGGCAGTGTTCCAGGACGTGGTGGGTTTTCGCCCGGCAAGCGTTCTCCCTATAAAAAGCCACAAATGTCTGCTTATCAACACTGTGACGTGGCGGATGTGACTCGCCACAAAATAAAGTCACTGGGCCGTGGACATCCGGAAAATGGTATCCAACTCACGGACATCGATCGCTTATTCTCAGATTCCTACCGATAACAAACAGTCAAGAATTCTGCGGCATCTTCAAAAATACAAGCTACATTCATAGACAATTACATACATATATACACCCATACACTTACATTCACTGTTATGCCAAACATGTACTCTGTACATTTTGATCACACTATGTTAGCTAATCATGATCATGCCTGTACTGGTGTGTCTTGCATTGTCGAGAATAAACGTTTATTTATTTATTTATATAGGTGTCATCACCTACGGAGACATCATGATGCATGTCACCTCGCCTGGCTGTCACAGTTGCTTTGATCCAGCGAGGGTGACCTGCTCGGTAATCGCGAGCGTAGTCTGGGGCTCCGACGGCGAATTCTTTATGCTTGCTGTAGGCTCCAGAGTGAGTAGGTGGCTTCTCAGTCGGAATGAGTGCATCGTTTGTGGTGCGTAGCTTGCGGCCCATCAATGCTTCAGCTGGTGACTGGCATTCTGGCGTAGCTGGGTTCGGTGTGGACCGGTACGAGAGCAGGAAGGCTTGAAGACACTCATCCACGGTCCCCTCCCCGCGAGATTTCAAAAGCGCCCTCTTGAATGTGTCGACAAATCGCTCCGCTTGACCATTGGATTGGGGATGGTACGGCGGTGAGCGGAGGTGTTCGATGCAGTGTCGGCGGCAAAAGTCTTCGAAGACGGAAGACGTAAACTGGGTACCATTGTCGGACACCAACACCTCGGGAAGGCCATGTTGACTGAAGATTCGTTGGAGACAAGCCAGAGTGGCGGATGCGGTTGGTGGGTTGACGGCGACCACTTCCGGCCATTTGGAATAGGCGTCGACCACGACCAGATAGGAAATGCCATCGATAGGACCAGCGTAATCGATGTGCACACGAGACCACGGTTTTGCTGGCGGATGCCAAGGAACTGATGATTGGTGTGGTGGCATCTTTGAGGCTTGTTGAGAATGCTGGAACACGGGGGCGGATTGACTGGCTTTGTCGTCAGTTCGGTCGTTTGGCACTGTCGGAGTATGTACCACGTTACAGATGGCCCGAAGAGGAAGATCGGCCAAGCCAAGGGTTTCGAGCCAGTCGAGACCAAGCACGTTGAGCTTCGCCTTTGTAATGTAGCAGATCGCGTTGAACGTGGCGCCCCGGAAGGAGACGGAGCAGTGCAGCTGCCCAGTTAGCTGCACGCGACCACCACAGGCGCTGGTGGCAGATTGGGAGGTCGGTTCGTATGGGGGCTTGCCAATGGATCGCCAGAGATCCTCGGAGATGATCGTGATGTCCGACGCAGTGTCCAACTGCAATCGGACCGACTGACCGTTGATCAGGACGTCGACGAACTTTCTCCGATCCGCAGCGTTGATTTGGAACGTGGCCAGCAGGCTCAGGGAGCTGCCAACCGGACCAGGTTTGGGTGTGCGTCTGGGTCGGGACCTCTTCTTTGGATCGCGGGTGGGGGCCAGCCCAGTTTTGGCCCCCTTGGGAGATGGAGGATGGCAGTAACCATCCCGGTGCCCCACCCTGCCACAACGTTGACAACGATGCTGGCGGAAATTGCAGTCCCGGTGGAAGTGCCAGGCACCACAGAATCGGCACGCGTAGGGTGGGGACTTCGCTCGGTCGGATTGGGTTGGGCGCGCGGACGATTGCGCCCTCGGTGCTGTGACTGCCTGGACCATACCAGGTGCGGCGGCGTTCTGGATCATGGCAGAATCGTGCTTCAGGTTGAGCAGCGTTTGACACTCCTCGGCCAGGTTCTGGAGTGTGACTGATCCATCCTGTTGTAGCTTGGACAGGAGGCGCGTCCGGATATCGGCATCGTGTGGAGACTGGAGGCCAGAGACGAAGATCAGGCATTTGAATTGGTCCTCGGTGAGCGAGCCAAGTTGAAAACGTTGGCATTCACGGTTGACCACGCCCGCGTACGTGATGAAGTCGTCGGCATCACGTTTGACCAGCTGCAGACATTGGTAACGAGCATTGAACAGAGAGGACTGCTCGCCAAAAATCTGTGACAACGTTCGGACCGTGTCGTCAAAGGTAACGTCCCGTGGGTTCCTCGGCAAGATGAAATTGGTGTAGCGCTGGTGTTCGAGGGTACCAAGTTTGCGCAGAAGCAGGCGGACCTTCCACGCGTCGTCCTGGCAAGCCAAGTCAACGGTGAACAGGTCCTCGTACCGCTTGTACCAGGATTCGAACGTTACCCCGGCCTTGGCGTCGTACAGAAATTCGCTGATGCCGCTAACCACCTGGTCCACTGACTGAGAATTGGCGCTCGGACCTGCATGAAGGGAAGAACTGGAAAGCTTTTCGGTTAGCACGGACATCAATTTAAGCTGTTGCTGCAGCATCAATTTTAAATCGGCATATTCGTCAGTCATGGTTCGTCAACTCTGTCGCCACTGTTATAATTGCGTCGCCACTGTTATGATTGAGGGAACGCCGCCTCTTGAGGTAATTGCGTGACAAGATTGTCGCTCGCACGGTTGGAGCACGCCTACGATGACGCTAGCTTAGCCGGTGAGACGGAAAATTGAACGAGCGTGGGAACGATCTTAGCCGCACTTGTTCGTATAGACGCTGAGGCCTCGAAAACGGACGCACACGAGAGGGGGTACGATAGACGCGCGCTAATGACTTAGACGCGAAGGCTGGCCAGCTAACGATTCACACGCAATCACGCGACCCGACCGACTCCCAACTGAGGCGAAGAGAAAGAAAAGACAAGTGGTCCTCTGTAGGCTCTTTTACGACCGACAAAGGGCGATCACAGCCAGTGCTATGGGTTATTAAGTTAGGGAAAAAAGTCACCACGCAGAGGTGGTAGTTTGCAAATGACCATTGTCAAAAGGTTCGCAGTTGGGACGCGCCTCGGAGTGGCTGAACACTGCTGCGTTGTGGGGAGAAATTGGACTCCGCTTCCCACAGCCATTATGCCGGAGTTACTGGCGCGTTTTTGCGGGGATTTTTGACGGGCCCGCAACAGGTTTTCATTATGCCTTTCTAATAGTGTTGACAATAGCGAAAGGCCCATGTATACCAGATAAAGCTAAGTATATGGGGCCAAAAGAGTATAAGTGGAGAGCAAAATGTCTGATTATGGGGTCTAGAACTTTTAAAGTGCGCTCATTGTCAACAATAAGAAAGAAAAAATTTTATTTTGCGGCTTACCTACTGATAGTGTTTGGAAAATGCTGACTATAGTAACTAGTGCTCTGACTTAATGCAAAAGCTTCAATTAGGGCAACAACGCTAGAACCTGGCATTTCACATGAGGCTTAGCGTTGTTAAAATGTTTTTAGTAGAGTGGACTCATGGGTCACAAGTATAAGTATTCGCAAGAGATCAAGTAGACTAGGTATTTGGAAATACTAATGGGTAATGATGGGGACGTAGGGGCCAAAGTGTAGAAGAGAAGTAAGAAGTGAAGTAAAGTTTGTCCGTTCGGATTGCTTCCCATTGCTATGCAATATCCTACCTGGTCAGTGCCTACAGGCTTACGATGCTCCCATTCAATAGTACTAGGCTGCTTTACGTGCTGATCTGTTGAGCAGTAAGAAACTGGGCGTCGAGAAGGAGCTTTCAAAGGGTTTGAGCTACTGATTAGTGTTTCCAGGTTGATTTTGCGGTAGCGGCTACTATTTCAAGACTTCCTAGTTAACTAATTGTCGGTGGGAGCGAGTAAAGTGCTGAGCTACTACTGGTTTAGGCTGAATACCTTTTGTGGTCGGATTAGCAGTCCAAACATCTGTAAGATGCTTGCAACTGATCGGGCCAAGATCTCTCACGTAGTATGACAGGGACCGCAAAGTATGGGGAGGACCTGTGAGCCCAAGATGCTCCTGTCATGGAGCCTAGTTGAGCGCAATACAAAGTTGCGCTAGAGCTGACCAAAATGTGATCTATGCCCCATCGGGGCCGGTCTCAAAAAGGTTGTCATCAGAATCACAGATGTTGAAAAGGCGTCTTATGTTATCCAGGCACATAAACTTTCGTACCTCCTGCTTGAAAGCCTGTGGATTGTGAATCTACCGCAGCTGTGAAGGTAATTTGTTCCAGATATTTACATAAGCGACAAGGAAGAAACGTGAACGTAGTTTCTTCCTCGCTGGCAGCGGGGCAACTGTGCAGTGCTTGTTTCGGAGGTTGAATTCTGATCCTCTTCTCAGTGTCAGGCTGGGGATATCACTGTGCACCGCTTGGTATATTAACTTATGTAAGAAGCACAGGTTTAAGATAATGCGCCGCAGCCATAGAGGCTGGAGTTTGAGATGGTTACACCTCTGTAGGTAAGTAAGCGCTAGGCCTTGTGTTGCTACTATTTTGGTAAACCGCCGCTGAGCCTTTTCGAGCAATATGCGGTCTGATTTCCGCAAATTACTGAAGATGAAGGGGCAATATTCCAGCTGCGGACGAACAGGACTGCGGTAAAGCTCCAACCGTGCTTCAGCCGAGTTAATGTGGCGGCCTATGTGGAAGACCATTCTGCGTGCTTTTGCTACCTGATACTGCACATTCTCTGAAACGTTGAGGGTCATAGAATAGCGAATACCTAGGTCAGTAGCTAACGTTTTTAGTTGGATGGGCGTACCATTCAACGTAAACGCACCATCCGATATGAAGCATTTGTGTATCAGAATACTAGATTTATCAGCCGAGAATGTCATTTGCCAATTTTGACACCACGACTCTAAGGTCGTCAGGTCTTCACGGATCTCTTGTAGTGCGGATATTTTGGCGCTTGTTTGGAAGACATATACGACCTTTATATCGTCGGCAAATAGGAATGGGCGACCATGGCGCAGGCTGCTATAGATGTCGTTCACATAAATCAAAACAGGGTTGCTCCAAGCACGCTGCCTTGCACAACACCGCTGGATAATGTGACAGGGATGGACTCAAAGTGTGCTACCTTCGCGGACTGCGTACGCCCGGTTAGGTAGGATTTAAGCCAGTCAAGCAGAGGGGTGACTACACCGTAAGCCTTGAGCTTATGTAATAGGCGTTTATGGGGGACCCTATCGAACGCCTTTTGCATATGGAGGTATAGCGTAATAATCGCCAGACCTGAATCAATCGCGTCAGTGACCAGGTTGAGAAAATCAAGCTGGCTGGTTGCACAGGATCGTGCGCTTAGAAAAGCATGCTGTGACCTGCTAACGTGGCCTCCTGCATTCAAGCAGGCCATAAGCGCACGCCTAACCGATTTCTCCATCACACGTGAGAGAATAGATGTGTGGTTTATGGGTCGGTAGTTGCTGACTTCCTGTACGGAGCCACCTTTATGGCGCGGTGTGATGAAAGAGTGCTTCCAAGCCAATGGGTATTGGCCCTTATCCATAGAGCATGTGAAGAGTTTCAAGAAGAGTATGGCAAGGTCATCGCTCCCATTCTTAAGTAGTATGGGCGGAATTTTATCAGGACCAAGTTTGGTGGATGGTTTTATGGTTTTGATAGCGGAACGGATGCCGTTTAGATCGAACTGAACCGTGGATAGCAGCTGGTTTGTTGACACATCCAGCTCAGTAGTGACCTGGGACAGTTCTTCACACTAGGACTCTTTGAAGTAAGAGTTGAACAGCGCACACATAGTCCGTGGATCTTCACTTGCTTTGCAAGGGTCGACGCGTATGGAAGTGATCTTTGCTCCATAATGAGGAGTGCGAGAACGCAGCAGCCAGCTGAGATTCTTGGCTTTGTTTTCACTGGCCATGACTGCTCTTTCTTGGGACGTTTTAATCAATACAGACCTGGACGTTAGCTGGCTCGCAATCTCGTTGGCCCTCTGCACATGCGCAAAGTTGAACGTCTTGTAGTAGGAACGTCGTAGTTGCCTCAACCTTGCATGCAGCTTAGTTTGACCCCAAATTTTTCCTGAACTTTTATTTAAAGGAGTAAATGGAGCCAATAGGTCTAGACAATAGTGCAGTTTGCTATAAAATATTGCGGACGATTGCTCCAGGGAGTCGGACAGAAAGAACTGTTCCCAGTTCCTTGCTCGAATAATCGTGGCAAATGTGGGCCAGTCTATGGAGCTTATCGGCCGGTATATCTCAATGGCCTCCGATCTACTCGTACAGATTGCCGGGATGTTTGCAAACAGCGAGCAGTATACTACTCTGTGGTCGCTCCCCGGAAACTCTAGGCCTACAGATGCACGTATATTGGATATACCCAGTGTAAATATCAGGTCTAACAGGTGTTTAGACCTGGTCGGCGTTGATACATGCTGCACGCATCCTCCCAAGTTGATGCAGGCTAATAGCCCACTATACTTCGCCGGGGCAGTGGGTGGAAACCACTGGATTTCAGGAAGATTGAAGTCGCCCGCCACAAGCTTGCATGCACATGGATGGCTCGCAGCTAGCTCAAAAGTAGTTATTAGCGCTTTGTCACCCACAGTTGATGTATCATTTCTTTATTATTTGTGGCAGGCTCCTATAGCTCACTGACGTTAGAGACCGAGCCTCATGAATATAGAAAATCGGCTCTAAGGGATAAATCTTGTGATGTTTAGCTAAGTAATGTGTGTATTTTGTAGGCCGAAATCTGTCAACGGATCTGAAAGATCCCCAGGGTTACTCAGGTAGACCTGGCTCATGCGGGCTTGCTGTAAGCTTTAGAAAAGCTTAGAGGCTTAAAAATGCTAAACTCTATTTTACTGGTTGTTTATGTGGCTCAGTATCCCCTGAAAATGTTGTGCTGTGGCCTTCTAACCGTGAGTTAATTACAAGCTCCCCTGAATTCCCATGCAGATATAATATTCCTTGCTGGATTTCTAGCGTTTTCGCGCAAGATCATCTCTTATCTGCATATATTTGTCATGTATGCCTGCAAAGTTTACTTTTCGGCCACCTGCGCAGTCCGTAGTTGTCGCAGGGTATTACGGGCTAATTAGAGCATTTCTGGATAGCTATGCCTATCTAGAACATACGCCGCTTCCCTACTTTTTATATTTTCTTTTCTTTTTTCTGCTATCTGCTTGCAAAGCAGAAAGCCATTTTTAGCGAAAAATAAAAATGGCCTTATTCGTAGACCATCATTTACTTGCGAATAACTCGCAAACTACTGCACTTATTGTGTTGCTATTACGTTCAACGTATTCAGACGCTGAAGCTGGTCCAGACCAGTGTAATTTTATGCCACTTTAAGCGGTATTCTAACTGTAGAAAGGAGTTTTCTTTTATCTGAGAATAACTCAGGTTGAAATTTTGTGCCGGAGAGCAATATCAGCGTAAGAAAAGTAGGGCTGTATGTTTTTGTTAATTGGTATTTTTCTACTGAAGCACGCAGCTTTATTTTCTCTCTTAACAAATTGTTTCTATTTTTGTCCGCATTTTTTGGAATTGTTTTCTACTTTTCGTATGCCCTACAATCCCTTCACTCATTTCTGCCATGTGCGCACAATTGGGGCAA